ATACATGGTGGAAAATACAGGTAGAAGCATAATTTGAATTATAAACAACTGGCAAGTTAAATTCAATGATAAAAAATTAAACAATAATGAATCATAACATGATAAGAAATTATTATCCCCATCTACAATCCAAGCAATTTAAGAAATTCTGTACACAGACATCTTGATACCTCTGAAAACGGAACCTAATTGAGATCACTGACTCCTTGCTAAGAGTCTTGTGTAATGAAAATACCCTAATGTTGTGAATTGCACTCCAAGTCCTATCTAGTCACTCTAGAGAGTGACTCTATCTTGCAGTGAGCGCATCTTCAGCTGCCCAGTGAGCCCACGCTGAGGTGCTGAGGCTCTGTGTCACCCTGTCGCATGAGGTCATCCTCCATCAAGGCCAAACAGCGCTTGCTGAGAGTGGCAGTTTCCTTATCAGGATGGGATGTGAACAGAGTACTCAAATCCCCAAGGGCCCTCTTTACTTTCGATCCTGCTTTCTTGTGTTAAATTGTGCCCTGTGAACCCAGCACCTAGCCAAGGTGGTTGGCAACATTGCTGGTGCTGCACCCTATAAACCACCCCGCTCCCTAAGAAGGCCTGAGCTAACACATTCACTCACCATGCCAGACTTGCCTGAGCTGTCTTCTCAGCTCTGGGCTTTTTCTCAGATGAGAGGAAGATATTTATTTATGTCTTTCGAGAACATTGATACAACACCAATTAGTCAGAGTTCTCAGATAAATATGAAGTGGATAGGTCAGTGGATTAGTTCATATAATTTTGGAGAAGTCATACAATTTTCCATGTGGAGATCCAAGGAAATTGGCTGGGTAGGTGTTTTCCAAAGACTAAGATCAGTGAGGGATCATGTCCCAGGGCAGTGGAAGGCAGAGGTCCTGGCTCACGCAGGGAGCATGGAGCCGTCCTTCCTCTAGATTCAGTTCTGCTCAGCCCTGTGGGGAATACATGACCCCCATTCACACTGGGAAAGGTGCATCTCCTTTACTGAGCCCATGGCTTCCTGAGCTAATCTCTTCCAGATACATGCTGACAGCCAGCAGTAATGGTGTACCAGCTATCTGGGCATCTCTTAGCCTAGTCACCTTGACACATAAAATTAACCAGAATAGTTTTCTTTCTGGAAAAATTCAGACCAAACATCAATGAGAAGAAAATTTAATTAGTTTACTTCCCATAGTTTTTCATCTAATACTAAAAATACAAAATACAGTACAGAATAATAAAAACTAAACATTGTTGGTTAAACTTTTTAGGCATTGATCCATGTCCCAATATTCAACTACTTCAGTTCTGCTCTGTGGTAAGCCCTACTATCATGTAGAAAGACAACTAAGAATTAGAAAGTTGTGTGTGGTTCAGTACAGTTGTCTTCATGGTTGTAAGGTGGAATACTAAGACACTGAGAAAGATCTGCAGAGTAGAAAAAGCCCATTAAGACATTTAAAGACAGTTTTAGAAAGTGTAGATCATGCATTCTGTGAAGGCTGCGACAGGCTGGAGTCTGGCCACTAAAGCAGCAAGTATGATCCTAGAAAGCAAAGCAGACTCCCTCGTAACAGCACAGCTGCCAGCCAGTGAGGAGAAGGAGATGGCCCCTGTGTCTAGGAGGAGGCTGCTCTGCTTGGAAGTCGTGAGCAGATCTTCAGAATTGTTCCAGGGCTTCCTACCAGATCTACTGACCAGAATTTCTCCATGGCTGTATCTTCTTACAGAGTCAATTCTTATTTACCACATATTTACCACAAATCTTCATTATTCCATAAGAGTCTTTATTTTCATATTCCAATTAAAGGAAATCATTAAGTTTACAGTATATAGCATTTACTTTCAAATTACTTTTTGTATTTTTTTAATGATTTTCACCTAAATTTGTTCACAGATCAATAAAGCATTTATAGACAAAACATCTTCCCCGTAGTATCCCATTCAGTATCAGCATGGCATTTTCTCTGTTCATTCCTCTGCTGATGGATAGAGAGGCCTCTCCCAAGGTTCAGCTGCCGGGAGTTGTGCTGCTCTAAAGATGGGAATGCATTTACCACTGTGATATGAGGTCTTTAACTCTACAATAGAGTGCTGCTGTGGCATAAAGGAGGATGCACTTGGGTCAGCTGGAGGAAAATGGGTGCACTCGAGGCTGAAACGTTAAGTGAAGTAAAGCAGAAGCACGAGCTTGAACATTGAATAGGTTTTTTTTTCAGATGAGAATCCCAAAATATAAATAAAGATAAAATAAAAGGTGGATAATAGGAAGTAGGGAGGCAGCTCTTTCTTTTTCAAATGGGATGGGGATGAAGAAATGGTGGAAGAGAAGAGGAAAGGGTGGGAAAAGAAATGAAAATAGAATCGAAATGTGTTATGCTCATGTATTAATTCCTCACAAATAATATAATCATTATGTAGTGCAAACGTGTACTAATACACACACACACACACACATGCACACACTCACACACAACAGCTTTCTGGGTTTAACTGTGAGGACAGTCTTTCTATGACACTCTCCCAGGCTTTGCTTACTGTCCTTGAGCCATTCCTCTTTGGAGAAGCATCTGCCTTTCTTCTCCCATCCTGGGACTGTCAGAAGATGGCCCTCTGCTAACAGAATAAGAAGCTTCCTCTCCTCCCTCTCCCCAGCGGGCTCCACCCAGGTTCAGAGCAGCTCTAGATGGGGGAGGGGCTGACCGTACAGAGGCTGTGGAGGGCTCAGTCTGGGCCCAGCAGGAGCTGATTGGCTTTGGTGCAAGCTTCAGAACCAAGCCCTGACTCTTCTCCGGAGAGGTGAAATCACAGATCTGC